GATAAAATTTCGTTGCTTGGAGTTGATCTTTTCTACAATGGTTTCTTGGAGTTGATTTCATCTACATTGTTCAGGTGTTCGGTACTGTGTACATATACTGTTTTGTCTCAATGTTCATCTACGTGGTTTTATCGCTCTTTATTGCTATAATAATGGATGCGTACGAGGTAGTCAAGGTAAGTTTACATATTTAGTTGAAGCTTGCATATATTATCACTCACTTTGCTATTATCAGATTGTTAATGATTTGACGCGTTCGCTTGTTTCAAAAATGTCTTCTTGTCCAGCGAACTTTTAGGATCGTTATTCTTACGGGCTTTCTGTGGAACACTCGGTGCTCAAAGACTTTGTGGCGACGGCTCCGTCCCTCTCTGAAATGAACTCGCCAACAGCACAAGCACAATTTGCTCCACAGGCGCTTTTGAATCTCGGTCGGTGGGTTATGCTTGCTTATTGGGCATGTGTTCGCTTTTTCACCTTTTACTAACACTCGCACCATCCCAGCCATGGAGCTTACTGCGATCCCGCTGGGTCCCATATGCTGGTAAGCTGCCTTAACTTCGCTTACCACAAGTGCGCCAATGAAATGCTCCGGTTTCTCTAAATGTCCAGTTCTTTTAGCTTCGCTTTATACTAAGCAGCAAATGCACAATATCCTTTCTAATCCATGTTTTCAATTCCAATTATAGCTAAACAGTTTATAATTAATATTCCGAATTGGAGTCTATTACTAAACCAGTGCTGTCTTTCACATACTCAAATTAACAAAAATGTGTGCAGATGTCGAGCTGAGGCCTCCTGCTTACTCATTTCAATTTCGGTGGGTAGCATTCATCCTCTTTCACAGTGGCCTTGATGCTAAGAAAAATGCATACTCACTTCGCACGCATTTGCTGAAGCATTCGCAAAATCCTCAAATGAGTGATGCATCTCTAGGTAACACAAGTGCATGGTGTTTTCATGTTTATTGCGCACAACAGACTCTATGTCCGTTTTAGTTATGACCTTTCTTTAAGCCTGTACCACTAATCGCAATGGAACAGCTTCATTCTATTTTCTTTCTATTCAGCTATGCATAGTCTACTTTTAGCAGACATTTTCCAGATTTTCTCACATTTTTACAACGTTTTCTCCTTAAAAAGCATGACATCTCATACTGTCTGAACTTGACAGAGCTTAGTAGAATTTACTTACTAAGCGTTTTGAAATCTCAAAAAAATAATTGGTGAAAGTATATCCTTATGTAATGGTACAGGATCAGGCTCATAAATATAGATCAAAAGCAAAAGGAAATTTAAAAAATAATAGAAAGAATTCTCTCCTTGATATACTAGTAATTTTTTGTCAATGTGTTGTTCAAGCATTTTCTATTTTTCAATAATCACAAACATTTTGTTTTTATTGCATAATATAGGCGCTCAACTAACCTTATTTAGTTGCTTTTGCTTCAGGGGCTGGCAGCGACTCGAATAGTGTTCGAGCTCTGCACCTGATCGACCGCATGCGAGACTGGGCGTGTAACCTACGCGGCAGTTCCAGGTCTGTCTTGTGTTGTCATTATCGTCAAAATCATTTCGTTACTCGCTTATCATATTTACTTTGGTTTTCTCCGGGGACCATGATCATTGTTTTTATTGAAGTTAGTTTAGCTTTCTTGCTTTTGTTTGATCCCTGCGTTTTCTAACTGTCCTTGACAGACTCATCATTGAGCTTCTTGTAATAGCAGACAAATTATAAGTCATAAGTTTGAGTCCTGACTGCAAAATCCAATGCCGCGCGTCATGCAGTGGAACGGAAGTGAATGTAAACTAGAATCAATATTAAGGGCACACTATTGGTTTTTCGCTACAGCGTTTTGCATTCATCGCTGTTCTACTAGTAACATTGATTTTGTTTGTAGTAGAATCTTTCGTTTTTAAGTTTCTTTTCGCCAAATCTTCTCTATATATGATTTGAAACCCGCGTCATCTTGATGTTGAACGTTAATAATAAACAGGAAATCATGTTCTACACGCAGGTTTTCTCGTATTTTCTCGTATCCTAATATTGAGCAGGATTTGCAGCTGCTTTTGGGTTCAAAATGTACAATGATTGTTCTCTAGTAGTGAAGTCAGAGATCAGTCGCCTCTCACTGTTATATATGCATCCCCCTCATGAAACAACACCTCTTTTCAGGTTTGAGTCGTTTTCAAATCCACTCAGTGACCAAGTAGATCCACCCCATGATGGTGTTGTGCTATCCACTCAGCGAGTATAAACTCCCTTCAACAGTTTCTCTATTGTATCATT